GCTCCCGTGACCTCTGGACGTGGTCCATACTCGGGGGGGCCCCTGAGACGCAGGTGGGGAGCGGGGAAGGCGGCTGAGCGCGGGGAAGGCGGCTGGGGGCTCCCATGACCTCTGACCCCGCCTTCCCCTCCCCCAGCTCAGTCCCCAGCGCAAGGTGGGCATTCTCTACTGCCGGGCGGGCCAGGCAACAGAAGAAGAAATGTACAACAATGAAGAAGCCGGCCCGGCCTTCACCCAGTTCCTCAGCCTCTTGGGGGACGTCGTGAAGCTCAAAGGCTTTGAGCATTACCGGGCCCAGCTGGACATCAAGAGTGAGTGCCCATCACGCCGTGCAGGTCCCCCTCCTTGGGGCTCCCCGCTGGCCCTCCCTTTAGGGGCAGGCCCGGGCGGTTTGAAGTAGCTGTGTGACCTCGGCCAGGTCACTTCCCTTCTCTGGGCCTCAGTTTCCCCATTTGTAAAATGAAGGCATTGGACTGGATGACCCTTGAGGTCCCTTCCAGGTCTGCTGGTCTGTAGAAGGGCAAGGCCTTTCCACACTGGAAGTTCACTATGCTAATGACAGGTCTGGACCAAATAGTAATAATACATAATCGAGATGAAGAAAGAAACAAACGTTTATTAAGCACCTACTATGTGGCAGGCACTGTGTGCTAAGCACTTCATGAATAATCATCTCATTCAATCCTCACGAGAACCCTGGGTGGGAAGTGCTATTATTATCCCCCATTTTACAGGTGAGAAAACTGAGGCGCAAGTGGTTCACTGCGTGGCCCAGAGTCCCCCAACTAGGATGTGTCAGAGCCGCTAGCCCCCCTGAGCCCAGGTTCGGCCCCTTTCATCCCTGCGGTTTCCTCTGCGCCCATCTAAGCGTTCAGGGGCTGCAGAGGAGGGCAGAGACCTGTACCCGGGCAGGCAGAGCCGGCAGGTGGCAGGGAGGAGGCAGCCTGCTCCAGGCTCGTGGCCAGAGATGAAATTTCAGAGTCAGGGAGCGGCCGCGGAGTCCGTGAGGGGGAGTGAAGTGAGAGCAGGAGAGAGAGGAAGGTGCAGGGCCTCCCATGAGGGAGTGGGGGGGGGCATTGTCAGACCTGGGCCTGGCAGCCCGCATGAGAGGTGATGGACTAGGAGAGTTTGTGTGTGGGTGGGTGGGTGGAGAGGGGACCTGAGATGGCGCCCGATGGGATGTTGGGGCGGGGGTGATCGGGGGCAGGAAGGAGGCGAGGATGACTCAGGCAAGTGGACAGTGGAGCCCCTCGGTGAAAACAGGGAGGTCTAGATAAGTGGGGAGGGGGGTTTCAGGGTGAGAAAATGTCGGGGCCTCCAGGTGGAGAGGGCAACAGGCAGCTGGTGACCCAAGGGAGCGAATGGGAGAAGGTGCAGAGAAAGGAAGGGGGTCCAAGGCAGAGCTGCGGGCTCCAGGGGTGTCTGGGGGTGCAGGATTGATGGGGATGCAGGAGAGGAGGCGAAGGGTCGGTCAGAGGGGTGAGAGGGGAGCTGGGCAGAGCCACGTCAAGGAACCAAAGGGGGAGAGAGAGGGTGGCGTCAGCAGCGGCTGGAGACTTTCAGGGGGCCCCGGCAGGGCTAGCCATGGGGTCATCCCTGATCACCTTCCAAGGAGCAAGGCCAGTCATGGGGCAGAGAAGCAGATGCGTGATGGGGAAGTGGAGGCAGAGTGGGGATAGGCAGGGAAGGGGAGAGCAGCAGGAAAGATAGTGGGAGGAAGGGCAGGTTTTCTCAGGGTGAGAGAGACCTGGATGGGTTTGTAGGTGGCAGAGAAGCCAATGAATCTGACAGACAGACAGATCGAGAGCAATAGAGAGGGGGGATCGAGGAGAGAGAGAGAGAGAGAGAGAGAGAGAGAGAGAGAGAGAGAGAGAGAGAGAAGGGAGGGAGACAAGAGAAGGTGAGAGGATGGAGGGAGAGAGAAAAGAGGAGGGAGAGAGATGGACAGAAAGAGAAGGAAAGGAGAGAAAAGGGGAGGAGGGAGGAGAGAGAGAAGGAAGGAGGGAGGGATAGAAGGAGGGAGAGATATAAGAGGAGAGAGAAGGGAGGGAGAGATAGAGGGAGAAAGAAGGAAAGGAGGAGAGAGAAAAGGAGGGGGAGGGAGAGGGCAAGAGAGAGAGAAGAAGGGAGGGAGAGAAGAAGGAGAGGAGGGAGAGAGGAGGGAGAGAGAGATGGAGAGAGAGAAGAAAGGAGAAAAAAGGAGAAAGAAAAGATATAGGAGGGAGGGAGAGATGGACAGAAAGAGAGAAGGAAAGGAGAAAGA